AATGGCGACCATGAATATTTCAGGCTGCGGCTTCAACATGGCCAACACAATGTGCTTTATTATCTAAGCTTCCCACTTTCGGCGGATCTGATCTTGATGTGAAATGACTTGCGCCGCATAATGTCGTGGCTGGTGTTGTGGTCTCACGACGTCGTGATAACAGCTGTCCAACATTTCACAGATGCTACGTAAGCGTGGGCATCCTCGACAGCTTCATCTATGCCATGGGGGGATATGACGGCCACCACCGACAAAACACCGTGGAGCGCTACAACCCGCGCACCAACCAGTGGTCGATGGTGGTGCCAATGCATATGCAGCGCTCGGACGCTTGCGCCACGACTTTAAACGGTTTGTATCCCCTGATCAAGTGCCACCAGACCCCTGTCGGACCTCTCGTATCCGGTATTCACCGGATATATGGAGCCGAGTGGTCAACGATATTGCGTTTTTTGTTGCTAGCTGTGTGCGATTTTACGCAAGACTTAGTTTACATACACCTTTTTCTCACCTCAACATTCGCTCATCTCATTCCAATGTCGGTGCAAGATACAGCGTTGTCGACAACACGGCCCATAGAACATATTTTTACGTTACAGTCATGCAATTATAAAAAAAACGCTAGAATTTGTAGTCCTGCAAAGCAAGCTTCTTGCTTTTTACCAAGGATGTGTTTTCATTACGTATTAATTCGCTCTACCGCCCTGTTCCACCCAAAAATTGCAATGCATTATATGTGACAGCGTATTTGATCTTTGCCTCGGAATATAACTCCAACGCAGATCTTGTTGGCTACCTGAAAGCACCACAGAATAAGCTCGATTTCTGTCAAATCAACTATTTTTCCTCATTAGCTTGTAGCCAGGTAACGTTCTAGCGGGTTCTTTTCTCGTCGCGTTATACTATAAAGCGGCAGCGCTGTGACAGATCGACCCAGCTTTAGTCCGGTTCCTTGCCGAACTCTTCATTCCAGTCGGTCCAACAACGACCGCGCACCAGCTCTCGCACACGATGTCCCAGATTACCTCCGTCATCTTTTCCCTGTCTCCAGTGGTGGTACATACATGGTGACGCATATCTGCCTCAGACTCGTTCCTGGATGCATTTTGCCTGTTTGCAAAGGCGTACAATGCCAATATCGCCATATAAAATGCAACTAACACAGTCTTTGGTTAGGGAAGATCTACATCGCAGGCGGCTTCAACGGCCAGGAGTGTATGAACTCGAGTGAGATGTACGACCCAGACACTAACCAGTGGACCATGCTGGCTCCAATGCGGTGTCGGCGCTCGGGCGTGTCCTGCATCGGCTACCATAACCAGCTCTACGTGCTCGGTCAGTACGCGAGCACCAGCAGCGGCCCCACACAACAGTCTGCCCTTACGTTCAAAAATAAATGCTGGCACGTATGTGTCGTCAGCCTTTCTATTTCAAACAGCGCTTGTGTTAAAACTTGGAGATAAGGCGCCAATTTTCGCCTACTCAGCCTCAGTTCAACACCTGCTTGGTGTCGACAGCTGTGAATATGAGGCAGCAAGCGGTCTACCCTTTTGCAATTAACCTTTCCGAATTTGCATTATTTGATCGTTCACAGGCTACCCGGAGGGACTTCTCCCCATATTTCTGGGGCTTTGAACTGAGATAGTTATTTCTAAAAAAAATTCCTTCAGTGCACAGTTATGCCCTTCGTAAGGCTTCAAATTCTATCGTTTGTGAGCCAGGCGTTGTGCAGACTATCATGGAACCAGACACTCCGACTTGTGCAGACTATTTTGTTTCGCTTGTTTGAAATCGCTCAAAGATGAATGACGTCATTGAATTGCCACACGACTTTGCCTCTTCAATGGCCCCCATTGTGTTCAAGGTTAAGGAAAATATGATCGTTGGCTTATTTGTGTGTGGAGAAGGCAGGACGAAATGACGCATCACCGGACAGCTTGAAATGAAGACATGATGCATCACCGGCTTCCAACCAACTGAACGCGTTGAATTTAAGCTTTTAGCACGAACCGCGTTCTGTGATGCATAATGCAGTCATTTGGGCAGTTCTACTAGATGTGACGGAAAGGAGGCTGGGAATCGAACGATTGAAAGAAAATGTTCCGCATCACAAAATGTTAAAGTAAACATGAAACAGCGTGGAATATGCTCCCTTATAATTATTGGCATACTTTTAAGTGGAGAAAACTGCTCTAGACAACACCTTCTTTTTTTAGTAGCTGTACTTCTCAGCACGTCATTGTTTTATTGCGCCATGGAACATTTGCACGACGTTGACGTACTGCCAGGCTAGCCGTGTGGCATTGCCATCCATGCACTCACTTGCCGTGCCTCAAACTCACTGACAGATGACAGTGCGTTGCTGAAAGTGTCTGCTGAGCCAAATATTGTTACGTTCTTGCAATTTGGCCCTTACCCGTGGTGTTCTTGCGCATTTATCCGTGGCCTTAGGAAGCTTTCTTGTATTTACATGCTCTGTTATGACGCAATTTGCAGTTTTTTAGATAATAAGTCTTATTTTCGTAATGAGTGGCATTCATACCCAGCTTCTGATTTTATATAAACCAAAACCCTAACAATCCATTGCGGATTTGGCTTCTACAGCTTGCTAAACGTTGGCGAGGATCCCATTGGCGTCCAATATTCTGAGGAATCTGTATAGTGCTATATTTGTGCCCACGGACGCCAGATGTAAATGGCTCGAGGATCATGTTCCTGATAGCTTTGGACGCTGCGTGGTCAGTGGCGTGACAGGAGTTGAATGACGTTGCTATGACATCCTGTGTAGAAGGGCAAGGCTGCGAGTTGGACCGCATGATCTTATAAATGATCATTTTAGTTCAAAGCCCTGTACGAATGTGAAGCACTCCCTTTAAGAAAAGCACCCCAACCGAGACTGCAAGTGCAAGTAAAAAGCATGCCATCACGGGAAAATATACAAAAACACTACGATAAAGAGCCAAAACATGTGCACACAACAAACGTAAGTTTAGTTCGCACGCATAAATAACCAGTCATCTTCCTGTGCGTTGAAGTAACACAAGTCACTCGACTCGTCCGCTATAGTGGTATTGCTGATGCGGCCAATCTGGCAGCAACTCTGACGTCATAAAACGCTTATCAAATGCCTACCATGCTTGCATACTTAGAGCTAATACCTGATTGTTGCAACTAACTGCTCTGGTAAATACCACGTAGTATTCATATTGGGCGGTCATGACATCGTTGCTCAGGGGCACCGGATGCTTTCGTAAGCGAGAAAGAGGGATGTACGGCCGCTATCAATTTTCTATTTCTTTGCAGTTAACTCCCATAGAGTCAATGCAAAATTTTCAGAATCTTGGAAGGGCCCAGCCGGCCCTTGCCATTTTCGCCACGGGGATCTTGCACCCGTGTTACAGCCACCCCCTGACCGACAGACCCAGCACTTTCTCGCAGTCTAAGGCGTCGGTAAGGCTTTACAACATAAAGACGGACATCGAGCCATCTAAATAGGACCCTAAGGCAAAAAATCCTCCAAATAAGGGCCTCTAAATCAACGGAGGAGCCACTTGACCGAAGAGTCCTTGCGAAATTTGGCTACAGTTCTGAATCGAGGTAATACGCAACAGACATGGTAACAGCCAAGCGTCGGGGTGCAGGGGGGTCGTTCCTAGAAGAGGTTGAGAGTGCTGAGCACGGAGAACCCACCCCAAAATGCACAAAAAGACCCACTTTCCCCGTGAAGTCGGGGTCTGGAGCCCCTCAACATAATAAGAAATTACACCGCTGGTGCAGTGGGGGGGGGGGGGGGGGGGATAAACGGGCACGTTGGAAGTTTGAGTAACCTTTGTTCAGTCATAACTCAGACGCGCTCAAAGTGTTGGGTGTTTGCTGCGTAAAAATCTGCAAAACATCGCCGATCAGCTAGTACCTGTGCTTATAGGGCACATGCTTATAGGGCCTTAAAATTTTGGGCGTGAGAGACGCGTACCATGCGCAGAGCTGGGTATTGCACCGCGCAGCAGGTGCCGCACCTGCAGTGGCCAGGAATACTGCCAAGTTCCTCATGGTTTCGTGTAATGTCCACGTCCCGACTTTACAGCTATCGGCTGATGGTTACGACCAAAGCCCTGACCACTGGCTCACTTTTCCCTTGCACCGGAAATATCGTCTTCGTGCCTGTACGCAACCCAACTGTTTTCAGGAGGGTTCAACGGGATATCCAGGATGTGCAGTGGAGAGAAGTATAACCCCGAGACGGAAACATGGACGCCAATTCCGGACATGTACAACCCGAGGTCAAACTTCGCCATTGAGGTTATTGATGACATGATCTTTGCCATCGGTGGATTCAATGGTGTCACGACCATCTACCACGTCGAGTGCTACGACGATCGAAACAGTGAATGGTGAGAAAACTATCAAAAGCTCACGCAGAGTTTAAAAAAAAAACACTTCTTGATGGCAGACACACCGATGGCACGCAAGCACCACCCACCGTCGTGCGTAATGGAAGGTTCCCAAAGTGGAGTAAACCTGTTGTCAATCCAATACTTTCAGTCAGCGACCATGCTATGGAAAACATTAAATTTCCCAACAGTTTGGTGCTCAGCTTCCCTTCCGCAGGTTACCGCGCCCATGTCCAGTGCCCACATTGAAGCACAGTACATCGTTATCGCGCCCCGGTTTATGGGGAACATGCAAATGATCTACAATCTTTAACTAATCGCATCCAATCGTTCACTATGAGAAAATTTAGGCTGTTGAAAACATCTACGAATAGCGTCAGCCTGTTGTCGCTTAGTTTTTTATTTGCGGTCCCTCTAGCCCACTTCGTAGATCGTTGAGCACTCTTGCCAATATATGGTAGGCATATGTTTTCGCTTTTCGCATACCCCAAACCAGCGAAGTGTTCAACCATTGTCAGCCAGTCGGCAGCTAGCTAAAAGAGCCAGGCTGAAACAAAATTGGTGGTGTCATGACATCTGACGGCAAAAAAACACGAAATCCAAGGGCCAAAATCCTTTGACCAAATTGTCCTCCGGTCTGGAAATGCGTTGCCGTGGTGGCAAGGTGTCAGATTTCCGCAACAAACCGTTCTTTCAAGGATCGATCTCAAAACCACACATGGAAAACAGAGGTTTACGTTTTAAAACTGCTATACGCCCATGGCTTTTGTTACATCTGATGAAACTTGCTGGAAGCATAACGACATTGGGCTCTATTTCAGGTACGAGGCGACTGACATGAATATATACCGGTCGGCGCTATCCGCCTGCGTTATCATCGGGCCACCCAATGTCGGCGACTATATCCACAAACACCGGGATAAGCTGATGGAGGAGAAAAGGCAAAAGCTGCTGGCTCTTCAGAATAACCAAAGGACGTGACGAAGAAACCCTGTTAACGTGCAGCATAGGAGGACAAACTATGATTGCTGTTTGGATTTACAAGAAATTAATGGAACGGTTTTGGTACAAAAATCTTATTGGATTCTCGAGGAAGCGGTCGTAAATTTCCGATTATCATCCGCCAATTAGTGCACAATAAATCAGCAAGTATCATCAAGATCTTGCCTCGAAAACCTAGCCACTGCATTTTTGGCAGCTACCGGATCCGTGCACAGATAGACAGATTTTTTGTTTATATACACACAACGGCAAATCGGATCGACTTCTTATCACTTTTAGCCATGGATAGGACTATAAGGAGGAGAGGAGAGACATGGAAGATGAGCCCTCACAATTTCACGAAAAACAATTTTCGTCACTCTGTGTGTGTGTGTGTGTGTGTGTGTGTGTGTGTGTGTGTGTGTGTGTGTGTGTGTGTGTGTGTGTGTGTGTGTGTGTGTGTGTGTGTGTGTGTGTGTGTGTGTGTGTGTGTGTGTGTGTGTGTGTGTGTGTGTGTGTGTGTGTGTGTGTGTGTGTGTGTGTGTGTGTGTATGTGTGTGTGTGTGTGTGTGCGTGCGTGCGTGCGTGCGTGCGTGTGCGTGTGCGTGTGCGTGTGCGTGTGCGTGTGTGGGGGTGGGGTGGGGGTGGGGGGGTGGGGTGGGGGGGGGGGGGGGCGCGCGCGCGCATGTGTGGGTGTGGGTGTGGGTGTGTGGATGTGGGTGGATGTCGGGAGGGGGGGGGGGGGGTCGTTTTTTGGTCGGATTCGTGCTCTGTGCATCTGCCTGGCTGCCGCTATCACGCCTCCTCACAAGAGCGAATTTATAATGATGAGTCCATTGGTCAGCATACGAGCCAGATGACGTTGAGCGCACGACTCGACACGTAATGCCTCCGTTACACCCGACATCGACACGTGCACATGTGAGCCACAGAGCTGGGATAAAGCAGATGACCCGGGTACTGGCGGGACTGTAGGTCCTGTCAGGCACCATGGACGGCTGTCTCCCCATAAATGGTTGTGCGCTGTCAAATACGGCATCCCGTCTCCACTCTTAAGCTGGTGAGAAAATTTGAACGGGGCAAAATGGAACCAGATACATTAAAAAAATAGCCGTCCTGATTACCAGGGCATGCCCAAATTAGCAGCGATCCCACGCAACCAGTGAGGCCTTTCGTTCTTAACTAGTCTATACAAACTTCATGCATTTGGCGCCCCACCACACTCACTCAAAGCATACTCATCCGCTGGCGCCTACTTCACCTCACTCATTCTTGGCTCGTGCACGGGTAGGACCCCCTACTCTTCCCTATCCCCTTTTCAGCGCCTTGGCATTATAATTGCCACGTCGACGCGAGGCCTCGTTTAGCTAAATTACATTCTGTTTTATGTGTGCCAGCCATCCAACGAAGCCACGCCTATCCCCTGTTTAACCTATATCAGGTCACTTTTTGTTATCAGCCTGGCACCGACGTCGCTGCTGGGCTGGCCCCAGGTGCACCGAAGCTGGGAGACGACTCGTTCCCTCGCCTGCCCTCCAGGGTGACAGTTCTCTATTTGGACGATGCTCCCCCACGTCTCGTCCACGACGGAGCGGCCCGCCGCTTCTTCGGCCGCGCCCACCACTCGCAGCTCCCCGCTGCTGCGCACGCACCTTCAGTGGTACTTCTGCGCCCTCGCCTCCCGTCCGCAGGAGTGAGCTTTGCAAGACATCGTCCCACGGCGTTTCCCTCAGAGGCCTGCAGGTAGACAGTGCACCTGATAGGACGGTGGAGCCCCTCGGCAGACAGTGAGCGTCCGGCATAACCTGCGTTTATGCCTTGCGGTCTCTACGCCCGGCACATTTTGGAGACTCGGCCTGACCGGCCTGTCCCATGACTTAGTCCCTTGTCGTTCATCTTATGAACATTCGTGACATGATCTCGATCTGCGCCGAACATTCCCCACCAATGGCTTCGCGTACACCGCGTCAGAACAAAACGGCTATGTCCCGACCTCGCCCGAGGCGTAGTACACCAACGGATAGGCCGTAAGGTATAAACACCAATGGATACATCAATGGACAGTAATTAGTTTTACATGTAGGAATGGTTCAAGTAACACAACTAGAATGTGACATCGTTTTATTGAGCAATTTTAGTCTTTTCATTGGCTCCGTCACCTCCGCTCTAGAAACTGCTGTGCTACCTGAAATATGGATTTTCTGCGTAGGCTAATGCATTTAATCATCAGTACTCACGCGCTTCTGATGACAAGGAGTGTACTCTGGCTTTTCCATGAAAACTAAGTTATGACCTGAAACAGTTGTAATGTAGCCGTAGAAGTCTAAGAGCGTGAAAGGAATGACAATGGCTCCATATCCTGAAGTTTTAGGACTAGTCGCAAAGTTAGAACGATTGCTAACACGTGCCGTCGGCTGCGGCATTTCCTTCACCCTGTTTTAGCTTCTTTGCACGCAGTAGAAATCTTGTCATGTGACACGATAGTAAGTGATAAACAACGTTGTTGCCAATATCCTTGTATTCTTCCGGAATTTCCCCAAAACTCCAGTGCTTTATTGATATAGGATAAAGTAGTTATCAACTGAGCACTGGTGGAGCTCTTATCTCACTGTAAATCATCTGCAGCTCTTGCAATTTGTGCGATCCAAAAATAGACTGCCCTTCAGGCTGAGCCAGTAGCCCGTGCCTTCTCGTTCGAATGTGAGGCAGCAACAGGGAAGGTCACACACGTCCAGTTGGTCATAGCTTTGCTCAGATAATTGTTTATTTTGCCACGAAGTCACTAATAATTGCTCAGTCACCGGCGACCACCTGCCGTAGAGGTTGACTTGTTCTTGATCGCAGTCCTAGATCATAGATCGCGAGTCATTTTTGAAACAAGCTGCTACATCCAATATTGGAATACCGCACCGTGTAAAGGATTGTGGCAGTCCTGCGTGTGTGACGCTCTGTCTATTGCAACAATCGATCATTCGCACTGTCGCAGCCAAACCAAAAAGTTTCAAGCAAAATGCTTACTTGCTCAGGACTGTCGTGGTGAACATCCGCAAGACGCATCCTTTGCCATGTTTTAGGTGAACCACAAATGCAGAACAAATGCCTGCCGTGAAACGCGACGTCAGCTGGAAGCACGGCGCAACATGTTTGCCGACTAGAATGGCATAGGCAGAGCTCAGAGGGCGCGTGCCCTTACAACATGGGCCGCCAAGAGAGCAACGGCGGACGCCGCTGGCTTGACTCCGCTGGACGGCCTGTTCACCCAGCTGAAGCGGCCATAGCTGGTGCGCTTGTTGAGGTGGGAGACAGCATCACACCGGCCATCGTGCCGCACGAAAATCTCTGGAAACAGTGAATCGCTCTTACTCTAATTGGCTCAAAAATCCGTCCCAACCAAGTTGGGACGGATCAACCAGCTCGCCATCAGCCCAAGCTGGTGACGAGCTGGCCAAGTCATCCCTCCAGGCGGCAGTGAGAGGTGACGAACGATATATGCGATGTGAATGCAATGGAGGGAGCCGAAAACAAGAAGGTGCACGTACCCTCCAGTCCGACGCGGCGTCGTTCCATCGCCAGGCACTCGAGCTCCTGCATGTTCATGTATGTGTTGCCATCGGTGGCACACACCGGCTTCTCCGTGTTAGGAAAAGAACACGGCTTCTGTGCTGCGCTGCACACCGACACCAGCGCCCCTGGCGGCAAAATCGGTGGCACAAGCTGATCAACACGCGTATGCACACACACGTGAGCGTAGACTCTCAGCCACAACCACTGCGTACAAAGTGGAGGACACCTGCGCGGTTTTTGAAATAACCCGCTCGCCTGACACCATAAGCTGTATCATGATTTTGTGGCAACCATATGATGTCCTATGGTACAGACATGCGTACGCGTACCACACGCGTATAGATCAAATCCAAGCAGACCGTTCTTTTAGGTGGGCCACGTCATGGTATAGCATACTAAGAATGATGATAAAGCCCATAGTACACCAATGTAACGTGCTGGAAAAATACAGCATTAAGGAGGGATACAGGTGTAACCAACTAATCGGGAGAGGGCACAGCCTTTACTACCGGCGAATGCTGTATGAGCTCCGCAGAGATGGGGTACGTTTCAAAACAATTTCCATCCCTTGGGCTGCGACATAGTGTATCAATCTGTTCGTTATGCACATGTACGCTACAGCATTCACGAGGACATGACTGAACATTCGTTACAAAATGAGCGACAGGTACTTACCAAAGACAAATAAATGTATCATCTGTCCTTTTCGACCGAACTGGTATGGAGGCCCAAAAAACAATCAGCGATTCAATTCTTGCCTTTACGATTATCTTCTACTGAAGCTTTCAGAACGTGCTCTGGCGGAAGGCCATTCAATTGAAAAAGCCATGCAAATGGTATGAGCAGCTGTATGGGCTTTGTGGTAACTGTTGTCCGCCACGCTAGCCACGCCGCATCCATCTGTGGTCCGGTTTCAAAATCAACGCAGCGCGTGTGCCATTTTACATAGATCTTTCGCTACAAATTTGTTCCGCATGCTATTTCGTGAAGACATGCATACAAATACATACAGAACGGCATGCATGCAAATTTGTGACAGGGGTAAATGCACTCGTGATGATCAAACAAATATGTGTGAAGGAGATGCTTGCCTATGCATACTTGTAATACACACGACTTGTATACAATGAAAAGCTTGCGAAACGGCCGCCGAGACATCGACAACTTGATGTTTTAATTTATCTGCACATTCGCCCCAACTGAGCCAGTCCCAAGTTTTCGCACCATGCAGCTTTTTCCTCCCATCATATGTTTTCAGGGTATAACGGTTTTTCCTACCACTGATTCTCTGAAGTGGCTGCAACGTATCACCTCCAATTTCTAATGACTGACCTCACAGATAGCATCCATTTCTAAAAATAATAAAAAATGTTTGCAACTTTCTTTAACACAATGTACTGGTTCATTCATAGTTTTGCGGAACATTATGAAATGTTTAAAATTTTGCTTAGAACGTCTTTCACCACCTTCACGAACTTTAAAAGATACCTCTTCTAAAAACGGTTAGCTTTTGTTTTTGTTTGCCCTTGGTCTTGCCAACATTCACAACGGGTGTTTGCTTTAAACCTAAAAAAAGTTAAAAGTGGCAAAAATTGAGACAAAGATTCAGAAAAGATTGATATGTAGACTGAGATTAGACATTGGCATGACTGAAACAAATGCACCACATGGATATAATTTTGAACTTGAAATGATCTGTTGTCTAGTCTTCCAGCCAACATTTATTAACTAGTCTTCCGGCCAACAGCAGGCCAAACGGCACTTAGCACGCGCGCGGGGAGGTGCAGGATCAGTATGCGCGGCACTTTGGTTTCATGGATCTGATGGGCTGGCAAATATGGGTGACCAACTTATGGTTTGATGGGCCATCAAACCTCCACTGCACACCTCTTGCCTCATGATACTCCACATATCCTCAATCGGACGCCCTTGCGACGAGTTAGAGGAATTCTTAACCTTCTTGATACACGTAATCCTTTCTTTCTCAGAAACTTTCCATGGGGCTTGAACTCTATATAGTTTGGGGTATCATCACCGGAGCCAGCATAAAATCCAGTACTATAGGGCATATGAACTCCGCCATAGGCTCAATATGGTTTTTTGTCTATGACATTTGTCGCGCCTGCGGCAGATAACGCACTTCCGGAGAGACGGCAAATCCAAGTTTTGTGAGATTTCTCTCGGTTCTTAGTTCGCTCTTGAACCTGCTGCTCTTTTTGCCTCCGTTGAACTATTATAACTATATCCTCTAGGAGTATTTCGCGGATGAGTGATTGACTGCATCCAATCCTTCTTGCAAGTTTGTCGCTTACAACTTTCACAGCTTTGTCTTCATGCACCTCGTCATTTTAAGATTCTTCTTCCCTTTTCCACTTTATTTCATGCCTTGTCCCTCATCAACACGCTGCCTCACTGTACACAGTGTCCAAGCGACTCAGATGGCCAAAAGGTGGTTTCTCGCAGTTGACTGGCTTGGCGTCTTGGTTTTTACATCACCTTAGCGGTCAGCTTACGCCCTTGCTGTTTTGGTCAGCGTCGCCATCTTGGGACTGACATTCACATTATTCACGGGTTCTTCTGTTGTTTTATTTCACACTTCATATCCATCTAGCCCTAAAAATTTGCAGCAAAATAACTTTCATCACAATACATGAAACCTCAAAATATGTTCAGATTTCAAACAGCACCCAACAGAGGCCTGTGACCTTGGCGTCGATCAGAAATGGCTCCATCGACGAGTGATGGCAATGTGCGTCTCAGTGTGATAACTCGCAGTCCAGCCACTCAATGGACCCGTTCCATGTCACATGTTCCGTAACGGTATGGACACCCAGGCGGGCAGCCGTAAATGGTGATCGGCTCTATCTATGAAACGTAAACCAACGTATACTGTGTGGTAACTGCGTGTGAAAAGTCGACTTCAAAAGTCATCGGGCTCTCCAGCGCTTTGGAGCGCTCCTGCACGCGAGCTGGCTTCTAAGGTCAACTTTGATTTCCTTGTCTAACCTTAGCAAGTCCGTATGTTTTGCATCGTTTTGAGTGATCGCCAAGTGACTTACGGAGGTGATTTTATCAACAAGGTCAAACGGCTGGACGTGACGGTTTGCGGTAGCGTTTACTTGTGCCTGGCCAGTCAGACCCTGTTAAGCTTGTAAGTCTGGCGTCAATCAGAGGTACCGCCGACGTGATCTCTAAGACGAACGTTAGGCAAACTTGAAATATGACTTCTGTAGGCCGGATGATGGACACGTTGGTTTGTGACGTTAATTTTTGTTTTGTCAGCGTTTCAAAGCTTCATAAATCTTGTGGGCATAGTCTGCCTCTGTGTCGACGCCTCTGTGATCCCAAGAAAATGAATTTGTCTCCTGGCTGGGGGAGGTCTGGACGGCTGCGTACCGTGGACTGTTCAAATTCATTTGGATTGAATTGCTCGAATTGCCAAAAATTCAAACACGTCTGGATTTGGCGCGAGACTTCCGGTGAGTCCCAAGAGTCCCAAACTACTGGCGAGTCCCAGGAGTCCCAAACTACCGGTGAGCCCCAGGAGTCCCAAACTACCGGTGAGTCTCAGGAGTCCCAAACTACCGGTGAGTTCCAGGAAGCGTCCTTGCGTCTGGAGCTCTCCCATCAATGCGTTTCTCCCTCGTTTATTGGCCGTTTACACCAATGGTGTACACGAATTGGAAGCACGCATTGCTGTACACGTGCAACAAAAACTCTAATGCGAAAGTGGTTTTGGTGCACCGCTTAGATCCGCCCCGTGATGTAGGGTGCTGACTTACGGCAAACGTTACCTGGAGCCGCGGCGGATGACATCTGCTCTTCCTCGCCCTGTTTGTGTCGTAAACGTCTGTAGCAGTGCTTACATACCACCGTGTTCAGCTTCAGTGGCACCATGCAGTCCAATCTCATTTGTCGTATATTGGCTCCCTTATTGAATACACACACAGGGTGATCGGTTGTCATGGACGACCGTCGGCCAGCTATCGGACGACGGAGGAGTGGCCCTCAGGCCCGCAGCTGTCGTCTCCGAACACGCAGCCCTGGCACCTGCGGGCACACACGATGGGTCACGCACGCGCCAGTGCGTGCGAGGCGATATCTCAAGCTACGTTCATGGTCCCGTGTGTGGCAGTGAACGCGGCTTGAACCGGTGTGTCGCGGCAATACAGTCAATGCTTTCTTGGTGACAGTGTTTTATCAGTGCCTCATATTGAAGTTCGAGAATTCCAAGCTCGTAGTGAACTACGAGGACGGGGACGTCGCCTGACGCCGTCTGACAATTCAGACGTGCCGACCTACGTAAAACTCCTTTGTGACATGCGAGGCCACCACCTCGCCGCGTCATTTTTGTTCCATCAGGTATGGTGTAGAATAGAAAGGGAAACGTGCCCCCCACTAATCTGTTGAGGAAGTTCAAACACCACCGCAGCCAGCGACAGTCGTGGCATGTTGTGGAAAAACAGTCTTGTCGAAACTGTCTCTCCCGGGAAACTGGTCTTTAGTTTAATACAGTGCTAGCTCTAGAAAATTTCAGTACCCCTAACGGCTTTAGCGACTTTTCGCAATGCTAAGCTTGGTTTTCCTCAAGAAAAGTGAACGACGTATGCCATTTTGACATCTCCGATATCAACTACCATTCGACACTTAAAGTGACCTTCGATACTGCACACGACATTTGTCAGTGCCATGAACTAATCACCACTTAACTATTGCTATCTCACGGCCGGTGAACACTGCACGGGTCCACCAAAATTTATCCAGATACACACCAGTCATTCGAACTTGTTTCCCTGATCCCACGAACCATCACCAAATAAGCTTGACAAAGGCGAAACAACGCGCGAGCCCCTACACGTCACACCTTGCAGGGCATGGGAACTCACATCACTTCAACATATGCAGTCTTGGCCATCTCCTGCAGCACCTTGTCCTTGTCTGGATAGTCAGTCTGGAAGATGTGGCGGTCTAGCACCTCCACCACTGAGGGGGCGCGGGCGATGGGCGGCGACTGCGCGGCTGCCGGCGCCGGCCATACCGAGACCTGGACACAGGCGGATACAGTGAGACCTGGACACAGATGGATACAGTGGGACCTGGATACATGAGATCAGGACACAGACGGATACGGCGAGATCTGGACACAGACGGATACGGTAAGACCTGGACACAGGTGGACACAGTGAGACCTGGATACAGGGAGATCTGGACAGACGGATACAGTGAGACCTGAACACAATAAGATCTGGACACAGGCGGATGCAGTGAGACTTAGATACAGGCGGATGCATTGAGATCTGGATACAGGGGGATCTGGGCCCAGGCTGATGCCGGGATACCTTAACACAGGTAGGTGCTGCCAGACTTGGACACAGGCAGATACAGGCATACCTGGACGCAGGAGGATGCTGTCAGACTTGGACACAGGCGGATACCGGTATGCATGGACACAGGATACGTCAGACCTGAACACAGCAGGATACCGGCGTACCTGGACACAGGAGGATACCACCAGACTTGGACACATAGTCATAGCCCATTACAGTCAGGCTTGGTAGAAGACGTTTTCAGTCATACCTGAATGCAAGCGGATAGGCCATTCCTGAATACCAGGGGATAGGCCATCCCTGAGTGAAAGGGGATAGGCCTTTCTTTGATGCAAGGGACTATAGGGGAAGGGGCTGCCCCTAAGCCATGCATAGGACTAAAGGGTAAGGAACAAGGTCACGGGCTGATGCCGTTAGGTCTCGGTGCAAGCGGATGCAGTCGGACCAGGACACAGATGAATAACGGACGGACGGAATCGCAGCCAGACACAAGTGGATGCAGTCATACCTGTTTGGTATAAGTAGCTTTCGACATGCTTGTCTTACCATTTATTAATGAAAAGCCTCCGGTGAGAGGGACGGGGGAGGGTGGCAGATAACTTTGATATATGTGTCACGGGTTCTGAAGTAGCTAAGCCTCTGATTCGAAGAAAAAGAATCAACGATTATGGTCATACCTTTTCCCTACAAACATACCATTCTGGTATTCGTCATACTGCAAAGCTTTGTCCAGTGACATTAACATGGTTAAAAAATGGTTGTGTTTTTGTGACGCACTTAACCATTTTTAGGCATTAAATATCTTCAGCCGTCGGCATAAGGTCACCCTCAAAATGCAAGGTTTCTGTCAAAAGGAATTCACATTGCGTGGATATCTTCTAGAGCTCCTTGTAGACCTCTTGTTACAAGAACAGAATCGGTGGGGTGGGGTGGGGTGTGACTCCGGGCCGCTGAAGTAGAGCCAAGGGCTTACCAGGGTCACCACTAGGGCCAGACCGACCAGGACTAGGCGCGCGCTGCTGCCGGCCATGCTGAGCCTGCCGACGTCGGACGTGTTGTGCCGCTTCGCCGGACCACCGATGGCCCTTCATTACGCCTGATGAGCGATGATTACCGGCGCCATCTGTCGGACTGCACGCGCGTCCCCCCGGCCGGCGCCGGTCGCACCTGTGGACCTCTAACGAGGCGGCAGGCCGTGCAGCTGGGTAATGAGTAGGCCGGTCTGTCGTTTGACCGCTCCGCGGCGCGTGTCCAGGACAGTAACAGGGACGAGGCGTGGGGACTCATCGAAGACGGAGCGAGGGCTGACTGAGAATGGAGCGAGGCCTGACTGAGGACGGAGCGAGGGCTAAGGGCGGAGCGAGGCCTGACTGAGGCTGAGGACGGAGCGATAGCTGGCTGAGCACGGAGTGAGGCCTAATTGAGGGCGGAGCGAGGACTAACTGAGGACGAAGCGAGAACTGACTGAGGACGGAGCGAGGACTGACCGAGGACGAAGCGAGACTGCCCATCACAACACCGAGCCCAACGTGCTTACTCGCGGGGGAGCATTACGAGCCGGTACCTGTCGGAGACGTGCGACTTTTTTCTGGGCTTCCACTTATTTCATATGTCACAGTTACGAGAAGCAAAAAGCTGACAAGTCGATTAGTCGTTACCATGTATTCATAAATGGCACCCTGATATTCCAACACCAGCTTCACTTCTGTGAGCGAACATAGAACACACCACCGCACATATTATAAACCCGATGCCTTTTGATCAACGTATGGAGAGAATGACACCATTAGCGGCTCCCTTGGCACATTGAACATCTACATTCCTGTAACAGCCCGGCATCGCACCGTACACGACTAACGGGGTTAGCAAAGCAAAAACCCAACATCCGACTGTATGGAAGGGATCAGACAACCCCCACCAACACCCATCAAATGAGCCGGTAACAGAAGTACATGACTTAGATAACCATGGGTTAGTACCAGTTTGCTAAACAGACTACGGACCCGGCACTCCCAAGGTCGCTCAGTCCCGCACCACCACCGGTGGCGATAGTGGGTACATAAGATTAGTGCACATAATCAGCGCCGGCTCTGGATACGAGGACGCGCTGTGTCTTACACGCACACGCCAACAGTCAATGCGAAAGTAGAGTCACATCAGGATGTCTTCGCCTAGCCAAAGTCGGCCAAGACATCGTGCGGCTGTGAAGAAGATATGACTGTGTTACATTCTAAGTTCACAACACAACAGGTAGGGTTACTCTGAAACCGACAACGAAACGTGGCTTAGTCACTGGACATGGGCCATCCGGATCCGATCAACGGACTCATACCGAACCTTGCCATGATGCCGCACTATCGACACCCTGCCCGTCATCAAACCACCTCACAGATTCGAAATCCTTTTCAGCTTTCCACCTTCCGTCCCCTTTCTATCTATCAAGCCTGGCACACTCACCTCACACCTTCGATACCGATCTGCGGCCAGACAAATGGACCGAGCCGTCGACACACGTGCGCCAATACTCGCAAACACCTCCCGCCTGCCAGGGCACAGCACTCTACGCACGTGCAAAAATACTCTCAAAACCGTCTCCGAGACTGGAATATACGTCGTGCCGGCCGCCACCTCAACACCTTCCTTCATCAGCCCTGGGCAATAGAGCGAGACGGCGCAGTGACGTCGCGCCCAGCACACACTCGGCCCGTCATCGACATGTTGGCAGCGCGCGGGTATTCCTCCATCCTACACCCTCTTCAGCTTGACATCCACGCGGTGGTAGGCGTTGCTGAGCACGCCGCGCAGGTTCCAGATGTTCTTCACCGACTCGGGCTGGGTGTTGTAGCTGGCGTCGGTGGCCTTGACCCAGAGCTGAGCGGTCTGGGCGCCGGCCGGCACGGGCACGCGGCCCGACCACAGGCACCAGGACCAGCAGCGGCCGGCCGGCGCCGTCGGCTCCGTGGCCGTCAGGCACGCCTCGTGCCAGGTGGCGCCGCCGTCGGCCGACACGTCCACGCGCACCACGCGCCGACCGCCGCCGCTCCACGCGTACCCTGCAGACACGCGCCGCAGCACGGTAGGACGGGCGCATGGCTCCGCATATCCACCAACGAACGTAACAACCTAGAAGCCTGTCTTCATGAATAAATAATGAGGATTTTCGTCCACTACATGGACTAACCTGGCTGCGCTGTCTTACACGAGTAAGCAAAATACTTATAACATGCATTTAACGTGGCAACAGACATGGCAACCGCCTGACGGTTGCACAACAACCCCAGCGAACTATTCACCTTTGACCCCCAGCGTCCACGGCGACAGACACGGCCATCTGCTGACCTTTGAGCGCGACGGTGCCGTCCTTGACCTTGACGGTGTCGCCGCTGGCCGGCCAGCAGATGGCCGAGTTGACGGGCAGCTCCTGGATGGCCGGCGCCTTGCTGAAGTCGACCGTGTCCCAGTCGACCGACGGGTTGAAGCCCTTGTAGTCGCTGCGCTGCCAGTGCGAGGTGGACTCCTCGGCGGAGACGGAGATACGGCCTGTCGGGGGAGCCGCCGCCCGGTCAGCGCAGCCGCCGCCGGCAGTCGGGACGCCAGGCCACCATCGGCAGTCAGGGAGCCGCCGCCCGGTCGGCACAGCCGCCACCGGCAGTCAGGGAGCATGGCCACCACCGGCAGTCGGGGAGCCGCCACCGGCAGTCGGGGAGGCAGGCCAACACCGGCAGTCAGGGAGCCGCCACCCGGTCGGCACAGCCGCCACCGGCAGTCGGGGAGGCAGGCCGATCCCAGCTGTACAGCATTGCACAAAAACGCTGGGACTCAACTATTGAATAAAGGGCAGCAGGGGCTTCCAACCTTGGAACGGGCTTCTTTGGACATCCTATCCGCGTGCGGAGTCATCTCTGTCGTCTCCATCTTGCAAAGGGGACAATCTACGCTCCCATAGTTAAGCAGATAACCCGAGCCTTGTCGCCAATGCCTCAGAATAATGAAGACTCTCATCTGCCGAACGAACCCAGCTGCGCCATAACCTGTCATACGGAGTTATCCAGAGCCATGATGAGAATTGCTGCGGACCTGTTGACTACCCCACTAAACCCACCGCGCAGATGTGGCAACGGATAACAGTCAGTTTTCCGCAAGGACGCCACAAAACTCCAGACCCCGAGTCCTGACCTCTGCACTCCACCACGTCCATGGGCAGTAAGCAGCGTGCGGTGACCCAGACCAGTCGGCGGAGCGCCCCGCCGTGCGCACCAGCCCCAGACGGTGCCGCCAGCACGCACCGCGCCCTGCGCCGCCGCTGCTTCACACGTACCGAGCCATTTGACGTTCCTGGCGCCCACCACGCCCGGCACGATGGCGCGCACGGGGAAGCCGTGGTCGCGGCTCAGGGGCTGTCCGTTCATCTCGTAGGCCAGGATGATGTCGCGGCGGGGGTCGGTGGCCACCTCCAGCGGCACCGACGCCCCGTACGGCGTGTTGGACGGGTCCGTGTCGAGACCCTCGAACTGGAGGAGCGGCGCGCCGGTCACGGCCGGGCGCGGCGCCACCCACAGCACGACACGGACAGACGCAGTGATGCTCAGCCACACTCGAACACAGGCAAAGGACAGTGCTGAGGTCAGTACACTGATCTGTGTGGGCTGTGTGCTCGACAGCGTGCTGGTTGAACAGAAAACTGTCTGGTATACTGGTAAACTGGCAAAACCGGGAAACTGGTAAACCGTCTGGTGAAACTGGTATACTGGTACATCGACAGCGACAGCAAGCAAAGGACGCCACTGAAAGTGGTCATGGCATGACAATTCGACACAGGCAATGCATTTGGTGTCATTCATCAACAGAGCATGATCGCATGGCACGGTGAAAGGAAATAAGAAATCAGCAGCCCGACCGAGCCACACGGCCCCTGCTTGTAACACCACAGGACATCAGCCGTCCGACAAACTCGACGGAATTGGAAAGCGACCGGGAAACAGATCAGCGGCTGTTACCTCCCGAGCTTCACACCGCACCATCGAGAACTCCACTTCACACCTCACCCCCTGCCCGCGGCACCACCACGCCGTCCAGCATCATCCCCCACATGGCCACGCGAGCGTCCGTTCCGGCCGCCACTCACGCAGACGTGCCGGCCGGGGGCGGCGGCGTCGCCCTCGAGGCCGGCGGCGCGCAGCACGTCCGACAGGCGGGCGCCGGTCCAGGTGGCGTTGCCGACGGCGGCGTGGCCCCACGAGAGACCGCGCACCGCCTTTACGGCCGACATCTCGCTGCGGCGGTTACCTGCCGGCGCCGCCAGGACGACGGTCACATGACGGGGCCCAGTGACACGGTCACCGGCCGGCAGCGGCCGCCGGAGCCGCGCACGAGAGGCAAACAACACCGGACCATCTACTGCCGCTCCCTGTGCGGGCATTACCGTGTAAGCACACGTGACGGTGTTCAGTGACAGACACTGACCGGCGCACGTGACGGTGTTCAGTGACGGAGACACTGACCGGCACACATGACGGTGTTCAGTGACGGAGACACTGACCGGCACACATGACGGTGTTTCACGTGACGGACACTGACAGGCACACATGCAGGTTCAGTGACGGAGACACTGACCGGCACACATGACAGTGTTCAGTGACGGAGACACTGACCGGCACACATGACGGTGTTCAGTGACGGAGACACTGACCGGCACACATGACAGTGTTCAGTGACGGAGACACTGACCGGCACACATGACGGTGTTCAGTGACGGAGACACTGACCGGCACACATGACAGTGTTCAGTGACGGAGACACTGACCGGCCGTACATGGACAGTGTTCAGTGACGGAGACACTGACCGGCACACTGACCGGTGTGTTTCAGTGACGGAGACAGACGACCACTGACCGTCACACATGACGGGTTTCAGTTGACGGAGACACTGACGGCACACATGACAGTTGTACAGTGACGGAGACACTGACCGGCACACTGAACTAGTGTTCAGTGACGGAGACAATGACCGGCACACCTGACGGTGTTCAGGACGGAGAACTGAACCGGCGCACATGACGGTTGTTCAGTGACGGAGACACTGACAGGACACACATGACTGTGTTCAGTGACGGAGACACTGACCGGGCACAATGACAGTGTTCAGTGACGGAGAGGAGACACGACCGGCGCACATGGCGGTGTTCAGTGACGGAGCCACTGAACGGCACACACATGACGGTGTTCAGTGACGGAGACACTGACGGCACAATGCAAGGTTCAGTGAACGAGAACAATGACCGGTCGCACATGACGGGTCAGTGACTGAACACTGACCGGGCACACATGACGGTGTTCAGGGACGGAGGACACTGACCGGCCACCACATGACGGTGTTCAGTGACGGAGACACTGACCGGCACACTGACGTGTTCAGTGACGGACACTGACCGGCGCACATGACAGTGTTCAGTGACGGAGACACTGACCGGCACACATGACAGTGTTCAGTGACGGAGACACTGACCGGCGCACTGACAGTGTTCAGTGACGGAGACTGACCGGCGCACTGACACGGTTCCAGTGACAGACACTGACCGGCACATGACAGTGTCAGTGGGAGACACTGACCGGCGCACTGACAGTGTTCAGTGACGGAGACACTGACCGGCGCACGTGACGGTGTCAGTGACAGACACTGACCGGCGCACATGACGGTGTCCAGTGACAGACACTGACCGGCGCACATGACGGTGTCCAGTGACAGACACTGACCGGCACACATGACAGTGTTCAGTGACGGAGACACTGACCGGCACACATGATAGTGGCGGTGACAGTGACGGGCTTGAAGTTCTTCTTCAGCTGGTCCAGGCTCAGCGAGAGGCCACGCACGCCTAGGCCGTCCACCTCCAGCTCATACGTCGCCGGCTCCACCGTCGGCACCGGCAGGTGGTTCCGCACGTAGAACAAATCACTGGAACACGCCAGACAAAGCCCTCGGTGCGGAACTTTGGCACAAGCACGGCGGTATGGGGAGGTGTGTTCAGCGGGCATAAGGTGAGTCTGACGTCACGGCACGCCCAGGCGTCTCTCCCCCCCCCCCCCTCCTCCTCCAGCTGGCACGAGCGACATCTTCCAGCCGACCGCGCCTTCGCCATTCGCCCACGGTGTTCCTCTCTCCTGACGCACACCTCCCGCTCCTGTGACCGGCGCGGCCCCCTCTCCGGCCGCGCCGCCCGGCCCCGCAGGCGGCCGCGGTGTCGGCTGACCCACTTGGGCGTGAGGAAGTTGTCGGCGAGCAGGGCGGGCGGTGGCTCGGCGTTGAAGGGTGTACGCGCGCTGGGCCGCAGCGCCGGGTGGCGGCGCGGCTCGGCCGCCCATGGGTCGTCCGTCATGCCGGCGCGGTGCGAGCCCACCTCGTCCGGCCGCACGTTGCCTGGCGACGCCGACAGGTGGCAGCACGATCTGGCGTTTCTACCGGGTCCGGCCCGCACACTACGGCTGTGCCAGCCGGTCGTTGCTCTAATCAAGCTCTGGCGCTTGGAATGGCTCGGTAAAACACGATTTCAGACTGCAAAAAGAGGGCAGGAAGAGCAGGCGCATCTGAATGGACGCACGCTAACCATCTTAGCACTTGCAGGCGTCGATAAGTAACGTAGCATACAATGAATTGACTAGGTGGTTTGCATACATCATAATTTTTGCAGGTACCCAAACGTCACGTAAGCCCCTGGACTATCTACTTCGAAAGTATGAAAACAATTTTACCGGGTTTTTATAACTGGCTGCCCTCCACGAATTGAACAAATCATACAGAACTAACACTTCGTAATACCGAAGCATTTAAAATCTTAGGATTTCAGCTTACTGCAACACACTATTCCCGATCAAGTAGAGCACGCAATTTTATGCAACTTCTGGGGGTCTCTGATTTTACATGTTCTAATAAGTACTACAAATGAGTAACCTTGTAAAAATACAAAGGCAAAAGTACAAAAGGTCAAACCGCGTGCATTTCTTGGCCTTCGTGTATAACTACTGGGGGAAAGCTATCATAACTCACCAATGCGATACTGCTCCAGCAGTTTCAGCACATGCTCTTCCTTGTGGACGGCGTACAGGTCCCAGAAGGGGTCGGCCGAGCCGCCGGCGCCCATCATGATGGCGCTGCCGCCTGCGGGCCGGACGGGCGGTCAGCAGTCCAAGGTCAGCGGTCAGCGGTCAGCGGTCAGAGGTCAGAGTTGACCACTCAGGTCGGTCCAGCCGTCTCTATGGTCCCGGCTCGCTCCCTGGCCGGTCACGCCTGGTCATACTCACGGCCGCCGGGTGTCCCCGTTGTATCGTTTTGCCACGAGCCCAGCCGGCGGCATCAGGCCGGCACTCTCCCGTCCCCCTTCCCCCAAATACACACACCCACCCTACACGCTGCCACTCGCGTCTGCTGCCGTTCAGCCGGTGACCGCCCGCTGCCGGCGGCGGCCGACACCGCGTAGTACCGGCCGCCCGGGCCGGCCACGCACGTACCCGGGTGCTTCTTGACGAAGTCCGTGATGTCATACACGCCCTGGTTGTAGGTGAGCCACACGCGGCGCTTCATGTCGCCGTGCTGCGCCACCTCGTCCATCGAGAAGGTGGGCAGGTCGGCGCGGCGCTCGCCGTAGGCGGCCGGTGCGCTGGCCGCCGCCAGCCGGCGCCGCTGGGCCAGCCAGAGCGCTGAGCCGAGCAGGGCGGCGCCGGCGCCCACGGCGGCCAGCCGCGCGCCGGCGCCGCGCTCGCGCTCCGAGTCGGCGCCGGCGCCGGCGCCGCTCAGGTGGCGCACCAGGCAGGGCGCCGCGCTGGCGGCCCGACGAAAGGGATGCCGTCAACGGACCGCCGCCACTCTCCCCGCCAGGCCGTCCAATACGCAGGCACACGGATAGAGCCAGGGCACCCGCGAAAGGAGTGGGGAAACGGTATTGTTTATCCTACAAGTCACAGACCAATCTAAACAACCGCACGTGGAACGGGCGAGGGGTGCAGATGTGTTGTGAGGTCCACTCAGCTGCGGTTCCAGCTATTGCGTATTTCCGGTAAACGGTGATCAACGTTCCGATCCCATCCACGCCCATAAAGACAGGCAACTTTCACAGAGCACTGCCCCACCATGACACTGCTTGTTAGACGACGTCCGTTCTTCAAGGCGAATATTAGTAACAAGTGGTTCCGCACACACCAAAGGCGTCACACCAATTGGAACAATCCCATCTCGTCAGTGTCTGGCCCGAGCCACAGTCCGGGATAAGCCGCTGGCTCGGGCCGCCGGCCGGGGAGAGCCGCTGGCTCGAGCCGCCGGCTGGGGAGAGCCGCTGGCTCGGGCCGCCGGCTGGGGAGAGCCGCTGGCTCGGGCCGCCGGCCGGGGAGAGCCGCTGGCTCGAGCCGCCGGCTGGGGAGAGCCGCTGGCTCGGGCCAGCCGGCTGGGGAGCGCTGCTGATGGATCCGTCCGCGCGGCCGCCGCCCGACAGGATGAGAGAGCGGTGGACTAGTCGGGGGTCATGTGTGCGATCACAACTGCCAGAAAAGGGGGAGGGGAGGGGGGCAGCGGGAGGGGGGGGGGGGGGCGGGGCGGTCCTACTGACCTGCGCAGGTGAGCCGGCCGCCTGGCCGCCGTCAGCAGGGCACTCAGCATGGCCGTCGTCAGATCTCTCCCGAGCTGCTCAGACCGCCGGCCCTCTCAGCACGGGGTGACGCGGGCCACTGGAACACACGCGCACCGCCGGTCCTCTCAGCACGGGGTGGACGCCGGCCGCTGAAACACACGCGCCCCGCCGGCCCGACGACGCCGCACCGCCAGCCGCGACGACCAAGGCCATCTGCGCCGAACCACGCTGCTCTGTTTATCAGCGGCCAATGACTGCCAATGGCTGCCAATGGGACGTCCATATCACAGCCCCGGTAGTTATGTATCATAGTGGCATGTGACAGAGCACTAACCGAAGAACCCGGTGTTTAGCAGCCAATTTTCAGAATCTATACACAATGAAGGGCAGGAAAGCACGTGAAAGCCATGCGTAGCTCGGTCAATTTCGGATCACATCCCCGCATAATATCGGATCCACGCGATGACAGTGTAGGACTTCAATCACATTGTGACATTTAACAAAATAGCCAGCATCAATTGCTTACATGACTTTATTATCACACCGAGCTCCCGTAAACCCCACATTCACTACCAATGCAAAAGGCGTCATCATAACGCATTTAATACGCCGTGCACCACAAATTCACAGTCATTTCTGTTTAACATCACAACCTGACTTTCCAACACTGCTCTCTTTACCCTTCCGGTATCGAAGGGAAGCTCCAGAGACGAAAAATTAAAACAACGACAAAACTATTTCTAACTCCATTGCAAGGCATTAAAATGGTCCTTACCGTTTGAACAGGCGAAAATGAAGGTTTGCATACCACAGTACGTAACTCAACGGCCACATAGTCGGTCATTCTCCAACAAATAACGTGATGCTTTGCGCTCAGCGGCGGCCAACCCGACCGGGAAGGGCTGGAGCGTTAGGGGTGACGCCGGCCGAGCACCAGCACAGGCTGCGGTCACCGGTGTCAACGGACCGCTCCACAGCCGCCGACGGCACCGCCACTGAGTGTCAGCTCAGGAGCCCCAGGCCAGGGTGACTCCGGTGGCTATGACCGAGCCGCCGTACGGACCGCTCCGCGGCCGCCGGCGCAGGGCTGGCGGCAGCCGGTGAGGCACCGCGACAGCTCGACAGACGCCGAGGCCGCCAAAAGCTCGTCAGAATCCGAGCGGCCGCACCCACCCTCGACCGCGACGCCACCTAGGCGACCACGGCGGCGCCAACCTCGCCTCTGCCGGCGGTGGCGGCGATGGCGGCGCCACCGACAACGCGGCAGCGCCGCTGCGGGCACTCGGTGGTGGCGAGCGGCATTGGGCCGCAGGGATTGTGGACAACAGAACGCATATCTACAATCGTATGGCACCTGCCCGCAAAATATAGCACGTCTTAAGGCCATCAGAATAAAGTCTATCGGATATATAATCCGCGACATCAAAACTTCGTAAAGGATACCGTTTGTAAGGTGACATGTTCGTTGGGAACGTACACAACGTGGGACGTTGCTCAAGCGCAAAACCTCGGTATATATTACCTTTGGAATGACAAAAAAGTACGCGATATTTCGCATACCATTCTGCCATGCAAGCACGCAAAATTCGCATGCATGCTACTCAGGAGCGAGGTTCGCTACACAAAGTACGGAGCAAAAGACCGTACGCAGATTACGTAAGTTGTTCAAGGGCGAACATTAGTCACATAGATAAGACACTGATATTAAACTTATTCCTCGGAAAAACCAGGAGAACAGAGATATAGTTAGGTTGATATTTGGGCAACATGCCTTTCTCGAAACAATAGCAGAAGTGAATTCAAAATTGCCTGCCGATGTGCCTACTCGATTTTTCAGTTCCTTTTTTGAAAGAGCAAGCCACATTTGTTACTGGACACCAACATTCAGGGGATTAAACACAGAGCGATTGCTAGTCATTACCAAGATGCAGTGCCTATGTAAGGATTAGAATGCCCGGACATACGTGTACATGCAAACGAATTCAAGCAAATACGCATCACGAATCACGCTTCATTCGAACATGCAAGCGAGCTGAAGTTAACAGGCATCACACATCGCGCACCAAATATTCAATGCGTATCCCATCCCATCCAAATCGATCCCATCCATATCGATCCCATCTATGGTGCAGGGCCTCGGATGAATGGACGCTACGGGGACCACATGTCGTCAACAGGAATGGGGGGGGGGGGGGGGGGGGGGTTAGAGGACGGCGGAGGACACACTACACAGGTCAGATGGCGCCTACGCAGCGCGCCACTGGCGCCACTGGCTTGTGCAGTACGGCGGTCAGGCACGCTAGTGACAACCTGCATACGATTGCCTACATAAAGAAAACCAGAGTTCAGCAAAAGAGATGCACCCACTACAACGAGCAAGCACCGAAAAGGAGTTGTCCATCCAAGCTTGTTAATTTACGATCGATACTTACGAACTCCAACGTACCTCCTTTTGGCAAGGGAACTTTTTAAGTTCCGAACGTTTGCACGCAGCCGTACACACATTTGCTTACACACTTTTGTGTACATATATCTGGCAAACGGACTCTACCGTAAGTACAACGACTGACGGACAATTGCAAACACATTCGATACCTGCATGCTTTTTCCAAACTTTTCAAAAATCGCGCTGGTAGGGTTGCTGTGACCTCTGATTGGGTTAGGCTGACTGTGACCCGGCATGGCTGGTTTAATATGCTCGCGACGAAGGAGACACGAGCAACCACTTATGGTGTAGCAGCTTGATGCTGTTGTTGGCTACAGTCAAGCAGGGCATCCTGCTGTTGGTGACATATTTAAAGCCTGGACTCAGCATATGCCTACAAACTATGCACATAACGCACTCTCGACACAATGCAGCCATGAGTGGATACATGTGACGTGATGGGTTTTTGGCATTTCAACAGGTTTATCTTTGTAGTCTTGTGCATGCAGGCTATTCATATGATCCCACGTGAATTGAGATCATCACAGCTAAACATAGCAAAAGATATTACTAGAGGAAATAACTGTCATAGTTTACAAAAAAACAGCCTGACACATGACAATTTAAGTTACCAGACAGAGTGATTTCAATGACACAAAGCTAAGTGTGCATGATTTGTCATAGTGAATCAAGTGGTCCCCTGTTGTTACTTAATATTATGGTGCCAGCACAGCAGGATGAAACTGAGGCAAGTCAGGCCAGCCCAGCAAAACTGAAAAACAGCCACAACAGGTCAGCCCAATATGTTACAGTGCTACAAGACTACTTACAAACACCACTTAACCTCCTCATTCATCATAACTAGGAAACCTCACCCAACCTAATGAGAATTAATAAGATCTTCTTACACAAAAAATCCTTACATTTTTTATCCTGCTGTTAACCACATTCTCTCCTTTTATTATGTCTATACATACATATCCCCTTATATCAATCATGCAAGTCATTACTAGGTTTCTTGTTCAACTGTCATTCAACATAAACAGAGTTGCAGTTATGTTGTTCAACATCACAGAATGCAGATAATTATGGAGAAACACACAGGCTTAAAACTCTCTGCCAACTAATGACAATAATTTTCCTTGATATGAACAATGCCTTGAGCTCCTGCTATTTTGAAATTATTAATAGGCACAGCAGATGAACTTCTTTGAGCAGCTGGCTGCATGGTACAAGTCAGCTATTTTCACCATAAGTAATATCTAGTAGTAATGTTCACTGCTCCCTGAAGCAAAATAATGCAATGCTATCTGAAATCCTGTGGCTGACACCGGTTGACGCTCACAAATTGTGAATATCTTATGCACTTAAACACACCATTTTGATGCCATTTGCCCCAACCACGAAACAAGTGTGCTTATACATACACATATGCACTACAACACAGCCATTTCATATTGGTGTACAAACAAATCAAGTGGCAGGAAATATTCATCAATGGCCAGTGCATCGACTGACACTAATATCTATGACATTGACACTACAGTTTATTCCAGCCGTTGCAGGAAGTCCGAAGTCAACGTCGGCGTCAGGGGCGAGACTGGGTGACATGTCACGGGTATAAAGTAAATTGTCATTTACAGCCATCATTTTACACATTAAGGTAAGTGAAGGCGCTAGCGATATTCAGTGATGCCCGATTAATCGTTTCATACAAATATTGCACGGCTTGCCCGCATCAAATTTACTCAAGCCTTTGTAGAAAATGCGAATCTTGCGCCTGTGATTCCCTCGGATCTACGACGTTGCGCACGTTTTTAAAGTTTTTTTCCGCAATGCCGCTACTATTCCACACATGTTCGGAATAACGTACATGTTTCCACTTCTGCCCCACTTAATACGAAAATACTGTGACAACGATACTTACCACGGTTGCAAATTACCGCACAACAGCGGCAACACGCACGAGACCGCGGGAAGGCCTGAACGGCGGACTGAACCTGTTCACAGCCCCATGCTCCGGGCCCATGGCACCGCTCGGCGTGAAACCTTCACCAATCGATGAGCCATACTCGGTATTCTTCCCCTTTCAGAATGTGATGACCTTGAGTCAGGTCAAAAGTCATCAAAAACAGCCAAAACCACCAAAATTGATTGCAGGCAACTTAGTGCTCTGAGCCTATGGCACTATCACCATGCAGCTTTCAAACCGGACTGGTGTTGACTGCCCACGGCTTCTTGCTGGACCGGTGCTGACCACCCGCTACTGTTGGCCAGAACGGTGCTGGCCACCCACGGCTACTGGACGACCCGGTGCCACCACACACTGTTACTGGCCAGAACTGTGCTGGCCACCCACGGCTACTGGGCGACACGGTGCCACTACACACTGTTACTGGCCAGAACTGTGCTGGCCACCCACGGCTGCTGGGCGATCCGGTGCTACCACACGCTGTTACTGGCCAGAACTGTGCTGAACAGTCACAGCTACTGGGTGACCCGGTGCTAACCACTTGCGGCTACTGACCGAACCGGTGTTGACCACTCACTGTTACTGGCCAGAACGGTGCTGACCACCCACTGTTACTGCCCAGAGCGTTGCTGACTACCCGTGGCTATTGGCCGAACCGATGCTAACCACTCACGGCTGCTGGCCGACCCGGTGCTAACCGCTCACGGCTACTGGCCGAACTGATACTGACCACCTATGGCTACTAGCCGACCCGGTTCCGGCCACTCACGGAAAAAGTCCGTCTTCTGGGACCATGAGAAGTAAATGTATTTTGTAAAAACGCCGAATCATAACGGTACGCTATACAGATATTTATATGTATATGTATATACATATATATTTACATGAGGGTTCACACACACACACACACACACACACACACACACACACACACACACACACACACACACACACACACACACACACATACACACACACACACAACACAACACACACAATGTATATATATATATATATATATATATATATATATATATATATATATATATATATACAACAGTGCAGACTAGGTGTTAAAATATTGCGACCAGGGCTGAAAAGTGTGAGAAAAACAATTATGCGGGAAGAGTAAATGAACTTTTGTTCTGTAACCTCGCACCTTCGTCGCTCGTAAAATAAGTTGGGACAGTTTCAAGCTAGAAATGACTGCCCTTTATCAAACAATTAACGAGCTTGTCAACTTAGGGTGTGTGCACTGTGTACCAACAGTGTCGTCGACCATGAAAACGAGCTCATAATATCCCAACCGGGACCCAATCGAGTGCTGCGTATAGGGTTTGCTCCTGCTGACTCGCCTGCCACTAAATCAGACATTTTGACGACTGTGATCAGCCCGTACGTGCTCGGTTCCGGCCTGCTCCAATCTCGAGATGTCAGCGCCATGTAGCCGTCTGGTGGCGCCGCAGCTGACCTGACCCGGCCGTCGGCAGCATGGGGCCGGACCACGGCTCCGTCGCTGCCGGGCGCGGCGCCGGACAAGGTGGCCGACAGACACGGCCTCGTCTCCTCTCTCGGCAAGCTCGGCCTAGGACGCAACCGGTGAGACGTGGCGCGCGGCCCACGTCTCCACCGGCGCCGGGCCTGTCCGCCCGCAGCGCCGCAGCGCAGGGCCTGTCCTGCACCGAGCGCCGCAGCGCCGCTCGGTGCAGTGGGCTGATGTCCGCGCCCTCTGGACTCGCCGCGATCGGTCAGACCTGCTTGTGCTCATCCTGGGATGGAACGGGGGTGTCGATGACCGCGGGCGCCTGGCGGCTCGGCCCCTCACTGCCTTCTCTATTGTTGCTATCGCCGACTGTACCACCGCTCTGCCTGCCCGGTGCCGGCGCGGAGCCGGGTGTGTGAGGTCGTCTTACCGCCGCGCGCCTGTTCCAGGGCTGGGGCCATGGCCAAGGGTCGCTCGCTGTTGGTGCTGAAGCCTCCAACGCGTGATCGTTCCTGTTCTAACGCCACCCGGAAGCAGCGACCGAGCGGCGGCCGGACCGACGCGGCCGCGTCGCGACGCGCGCGGAATCTGTGCGGAACTGTGTGTGGTGGCGGTGACCGTGAATGTGTCGTAACTATGATAGCGCTTTAACATGTTGTCGCTGCTAGTGACGCTTGTTTCAGTGGTGTTGTACAGCTCAGCAGTGGCGCTTGGTTGTGTGTCTGGGCGGTGATGCACCAGTGTCGGAATGCTGCTTCTCATGAGCAGACGTGCTTTTTTGCTATTGGCGCAAGGTGCAAGGTGCAGCCGTGCAACGAAAAGGGTGCAAAGGGCAGGAAACACCTGCAACGTAATGCCAGTCAACACAGACACGAAAGCAAACGCTCTGAAAGTACGGAGCAGAAAACACGTGGAAACAGGTGGCAAGAAGGATAATGAAACTGCTCGTGGAAGGACGGTCTTGTCTAACACATGCTTACATGTGTAACGCATAACGCTGTAAAGATAGCTACAGTCTGTGCTGTTCACCGTACCGCATAACCTAACTGCTGTGCTGCATAAGGTGTTTCTGCTGCTTCGTTACGTAAGCACGTATGCACTGGAGTTCCGTGCCGCAGAACGCTCTGGAGCGCCCCCTTCCCCGAGATTGGAGGTCGCCCGCCAACGCCCCGCGGCCCCGCGGTGTATATAGACTGACACAGGCTGCGTAGCGTCAGACGAGGTCCGACCACGACCAAGGTCGCGACTCTGCATAGCTTACACAACGTGAGCGAGTCGGACTATCTTGTGGCTGAAGATAGTCTACCTTCTTACGTACATTTTCAATGGACAGTGAGAAGAACGCTGATCGTGAAGGTGAAGCGTTACATTGGCGCCTCCGACCCGAATCAAGACCAAGCGCTACTTCAACGCCGAACCAGCTTGTCGTCTCCAACCAAGGTGCGGCCATTGAAGTACAGGTTCCGATTCACGCGTGTCATACAAGTCGCTGGATCATCGGAAAGGAGTTAGATTACTTGGCTTTTGTCACCTGCGCCTGCTGCAAGCTGTTGCAAGACAGTTTCGCCACTGACCAAGGTGACATTTTGAGAAAAAAAACTGCTCCTTCCATTGCTCCTCCCTGGAGAACAGGTGGAAGAAACGCAAGCACTTCCGCGCTTGCCACAATCTAAGCAAGCGCGATTTTTTGTTTACCGTGTGACATTTGCCATACTTGTAACTGAAACCACGTCACCACCTTTCGTTTCGCTTGCCAACGTTGCTCCTGCCTTCCTTGCCTCGAACGCTGTTGTGGCTTTTCCTCGGTAAACCTTTCAGCAGCAGACCTTGATAAGCTCATCGAAAAGCATTATCAAAAAGTCCAACGCCGCTGCGCGACATATCTCCAACAGCTTTAAAATCCTTACCTATACCACCCGGGCTGTCAAGCTCTTGAAGCTTCGTTGATCAATGAAGATCCTACAAAACAGGACACAATAACTGCTATAGGAAGAGCAAACTCCCTTTACGTCAAAACGAGCGGGACGGTCATCAAACCGCACGATCTTCCCGCCCGTGCAAGAAACGAAAAACGGACGCCGCCGCCGATTTCTCGCTGACTACAAAGCGCGGAAGATCCCGAGCATCTCCGCCTCGGCCGATCAGATAAGCGCTGCATCCGCCTCTGCCGATCAGGCAAGCGCTGCATCCGTCTCTGCCGATCAGGCCAGCGCTGCATCCGCCTCTGCCGATCAGGCAAGCGCTGCAACTCCCGAGACCACGACAGAGGAAACGACGCAGTTCACAGACGCAGAACCCGAGCCCGACGCGCAGCCTCCCATATACGAGCACGAGGGACAGGAGTGGTGATCCCCGGTGATACATCAGGCTACTCTCCATTAGTAAGGTACGGTGCTGACTATCCTTTTCCCATTGCGCGGTTCTCTCGAACACCTTGGCTCACGCACCCCAGGAGATCCCCTTACCGGAGAAACTTTTGTATTCTGCAGAATTGTCACGCAATGTGTCAAAAGGCCTGGACAATGTGCATGACATTTTCAAAATAAACACCATCATTACCGGTTGTGCGCACTTTGACGGTCTAAATACCACAAATTTGTATCAATGAATGGCCGACGTGGGTCGCATCCATGAGGATTGCAACGGTAACGACAAAATCGCTCTAACCGCTGCAGGACTTCTCGTAACCGGACAGCGAAATCCTTCTTTTGGCGCAACCGAGAACATAATTGCACGTGGCTCCAGATGAAAGACTTGTTCCGACACTTTTATGCAAATATGCGCGATGCCGACATTCTGGAGGAAAAACTGAACCGTCCCACTCAAAAATCGAGCGAACCTGTGTAGTCCTGTTACGAGCGCTTAAATGAACTAGCTACCGAAGTGTACGGGAGGGATACAAATACCCCAGATAAAAAGCCATGGCCAAATTGTTCACGAACGGACTTGTAGATAAATGAGCGGCTCACAAACTGCTTCGCCATCAGCCTTTGACTTTGAACCCCTCCTTAGATATCGCACTCATGGAAGACAAATTTTACAGGAAGATAGAAATGCGGGACAGAGAGGAGCCAATGTAAATCGATTTGGTCAAACTAGCCACAGATCCCTTGCAGAAAAATTGAGCAACTCACGGAAACGGTCAATGTCCTAGCAGTTAAAATGAAGCAAGCGGATCAAACGAAAGCACCCTAGGCATCCCCACGCTTTAAAGATGAAACTGGAATTCTTTTACCCAGTGCAGTTGTTCAAATGTCCAAAAACAAGCACGTTCCCTGAGCTATCGTGAATGAGACCGTCAGCCAGTTTCACTTTCGAAAAGGTCAGATTCTAGGCAAAGCGTCCAATTTCAAAACAGAAAAAAAAACAGAAGAGCAGATTGAAATCAATCATGTACAGGCAGAAGAGCCGATGGCATCACTGAGTCAAACGACAAACGACTGGTTGAAAATGTTCAATTTAACTCACATTTCAGAAGAACGACGCATGCTTCTTGAACAACTTTTGACAGCTATTCGTGTTGAGTTGAAAACAGCAAGAGTCCCGTTGAAGCGGTGGGCTAGAATTTTGTCTTCTTTGCCTAAGACGGAGGTTTGAGTTTGGAGATGACTTATCTCCTGTTCAGTAGTGGTACCAAAGAGGTAGGACATGGCGTTTCCTATGCCATCAATCAGATCAAGACGAAGTCGTCCGGTAAATTGTTTCCGCAGGATCTGATGAAAAGCGTCATAGAGGTAGAGTTTCGTCGTGTAGTCCCTGAATGGCATCCGCAAGGCGTGATTTAGTGCGATATGCTCGTTGTGTGGCCTTGCCAGATAGTTGTTGGTGAAGGTATTCTGCAAAGCCCTTCAGATTTTGCCTGGCCTTTTCAACTGAATG